AACTCTAGCGCCTTCCGCAAACTCCAGGAACCTTGTTCCGTTTTTGTTGCTGAGCTGGCAGCAATCAACTTCGCATTGGGGATGATTTCCAACATGCCCGCAGACCATTACTTCATCTTCTCGGATAGTCTCAGTTCGATTGAGGCTATTCGGTCGATGAAACCAAGTAGGCACTCATCTTATTTCCTTTCAAAGGTAAGGGAGCAGATGAGTGTACTGGTCGAAAGATCATATATGATTACCTTTGTATGGGTCCCATCACATTGCTCAATCCCAGGCAATGAGAAGGCGGACTCTCTCGCAAAGGTGGGCGCGCAGGAAGGCGAATTTTATGACAGGCAAATTTCACACGATGAATTTTACCATTTAGTGCGTCAGAGTACCCTTTCGAGTTGGCAAACCGATTGGGACAATGGAAATCTTGGACGGTGGTTACATTCAATTATTCCTAATGTTTCTTCGAGAGCGTGGTTTAAAGGCTTGGACTTAAGTCGTGACTTCATTCGCGTGATGAGTAGACTTATGTCCAACCACTACTCGCTAGATGCTCATCTCAATAGAATAAACCTCGTAGACAGCAACATCTGTCGGTGTGGAAACGGTTACGATGACATCGATCATGCAGTTTGGCAATGTACGGATAATTACGCCGCCAGAGAGCGACTTTTGAATACCCTTGAGGCCCAAGGAAGACAACCCTATGTTCCTATCAGAGACGTGTTGGGAACTCGCGATATCTGCTATATGCAGTCGGTTTATGTGTTTCTTCAAATGTCTAGTATAAGAATTTAATTCCTTGTCTTTTGTCTCTCTTTAATAGTTTTTGTTTGTCTTGTCCCCCCGTCTCGATGAGTCTCATCGTCGCCCACTGGTCACCATAGCCGGTCGAACTCCAGACGAAACTAGAACCGCACTACCATTCATACTGGCGACAACGCTCTGATGAGACAACGAAACCTTACCCCCAAACTCCTCCCCTGATCCTATCCTTCGACAATGTACCTCTCTAACCTCGAGTAAGCCGCGAGTATTCGGCCCAACTCCTACTAGACATAGAATTAAGTGAATTTTGTTACAAACAAAGAACAATGAACTATCGGCTCCGTAAAGCTAACGCGATTGAGCCTCCCAAATAAACGAACTAGTTAAAAAAAAAAAAAAAAAAAAAAAAAATATACAACTGGTCTTTGCACAACAATAACTCCACGCTTGGGAGTATAATATAGTAATCATCACCTTAATAATGTGAATAATGTCCCAATCTATAGCGAGCTTACCTAAAACATGACATGGTAGACTCAACGGTCCATAATATAGTCAAAAATACCCCCCTAAAAAAAAAAATCCAGTTTGACGTTTGTCCAAAAAAAAAAAAAAATCACTTCACTATTGGGCGTTGCATATTTGTTAAATGTAAAACTTATGTCATTTGAAAAATGCAGGGAAGAAAAATTTATATTTGAGGACCCCCTGGAACTAGCACTACCTTCTCCCAGTATTCAATCAATGTATTGGGTTTCAATCAAATGAGCATTAAAATGGTTTTTAGTACTTTACTTAAGTTCGGAATTGTTGCATATAAATTTTTAAATAAAATAGATCCAGAACATTAAAAATCATTGGATAGAAAATAGCACAAAAGTGTGCTGCGATTGTGTATTTGTATGTTTAACTCTTAGAGCACCAATCTGAAACTGAACTCGAATCTTTTTTCAAAATTTTATCTCTTTTCCTTAGTTTGTTTTCCTCGATCTAGTTTTCCGTACTGAGTACCAATGCTACAGACTGTATTTGTAAATAATTGCATGTTAGATAGCATTTCCAAACAACTCAATTTTTACACGATAATTTTCTCAGGAATTTAATGAAAAAACTGATTTCCTTGGATAAATTATTGTCGAGGTAGTGACATCACCTCAAACGCTAAAGGATCCAGAACAAGATCCGTAGGATGATCATGAACAGTCCTCGATGAACTAGAAATTCTGAGATCCACCACTTGGCTGGCCTTTAGACACTGGAGGAACGGAGTACTTTCATCCCCGAATGGTTCAGATACGCTGATCTGAGATCAAATCACCAGATCATACGTGATCTTGAAAATTATTCTTAGTTTGGTAGGTTAACAATTTTTCCATATCATCCATTTTCCATCAATTGAAATGTATGAACAATGTAAAATCATAATCAACGGGAAATAAAACACAATTTTACTACTACTACTGCATGCCCCGCATTTAGCGAAAGAGCATCAATCATACTGGGCAGACAAAATGTCAGAAGAAGAATCATTCTTAACTGTATATTGGACAATTGTTTACCTATGATTATCTTAAATAAATTAAAGTAAATCACAATGAACTTTATTAAAAGGTCCTATCTGCATTGATCGATTCTCTTCATATATTTTCTCTTTCTTTAACAACTCAGCTGCAACGTTCACTGTCGTATTTGATGTTTTGGAAGCTAGATACGAACCTTATTTATCAAACTATGTATACCGCGAAATCTTTTTGCATAGCCTTGTTATCAAAAGAGAAAGTTGATGAAAATAATCGATCAAAGCAGATAAAACCTTTTGAATTGTTCAGCTAGAATTTTAAATGGGTGTTTGTGTAGCACACACAATAATAAAAGAGTAATAATTTGCATCGATTTGTTTTCAATTCAAACACAAACGTTTCCTGTCGTCTTTGTCGTATTAGATGCTAGATTGTTACTTCTTCCATCGATGTGTGTGTTGAAAATATCCAGAAATATCTTTACATGACCGTGATTATCCAAAGTGTAATTCGATGAAGATGTAGATGTAGATGTAGATAGGATCTATTGAAAAATTGCTCGAAATTTGTTCATTTTAATAAGGAGAAAGCAAAACGACAAATATAAACTTTTCAAGGTTTATCTGTTCTGTTACTTAAGACAAACGGCATCTCCATAGAAATCTATCAAACTATTTATTACGTCAAAAAGCAATTTTGGCTGGTAAAGGGTGATACGGTCAAAATTTGGTCAAGGGAAAACGCGTGTAAATCGGTGAAATCGTTTATTTAAAAAATCAAATTAAATTTCTTTTTCAAGTTCAATTAGTATAAAATTCAGGAAAAATATTCAGTTAGGCTTCCGCTTTTCCAAATCCGAATTGCCGGGCCTTACGCTTGACCCCTGCCATCAGATTTTGTACAGCCACCTTGTCCACCTTCTTCGCCACAAAAAGCCAGTTTGCCTTGAACTGCTGCTCGCCCTTAGCAGTTTTTTTGGTCTTCTTTAGGTTCCGCTTGACAATAGCCCAGTATTTCTCAATTGGGCGGAGCTCTGGCGTGTTGGGAGGGTTCTTGTCCTTGGGAACCACCTGCACGTTGTTGGCGGCGTACCACTCCATGGCCTTTTTACCGTAATGGCAAGATGCCAAATCCGGCCAAAACAGTACGGAACAACCGTGTTTCTTCAGGAAAGGCAGCAGACGTTTATTCAAACACTCTTTCACGTAAATTTCTTGGTTGACAGTCCCGGAAGCTATGAAAATGCTGCTTTTCAAGCCACAGGTACAGATGGCTTGCCAAACCAGATATTTCTTTGCGAACTTTGACAGTTTCATGTGCTTGAAAACATCTGCTACCTTTCCCCTTCCTTTTGCCGTATAAAACTCCTGTCCCGGAAGCTGCTTGTAGTTGGCTTTGACGTAGGTTTCGTCGTCCATTACCACGCAGTCAAACTTCGTCAGCATCGTCGTGTACAGCCTCCGGGATCGCGCTTTGGCCGTCGTATTTTGTTTATCATCGCGATTTGGAGTCACTACCTTCTTGTAAGTCGATAGTCCGGCTCGTTTTTTGGCTCGATGCACGGTTGTAGACGATACACCCAGCTTATTTGCGGCATCTCGGAGAGAGAGGTTAGGGTTTCGCTTGAAACTACCGGCAACTCTCTTTGTCGTCTCAGCGGCTTCCGGTTTTCGATTTCCCCCCGATCCAGACTTCCTGGCTGTCGACAAACGTTCCCCAAACACTTTAATTACATTTGTAACGGTTGATTTGGCAACTTTTAGCGATTTTGCCAACTTTGCGTGCGAGTAGCTCGGATTTTCGCGATGCGCGAGCAAAATTTTGATACGCTGCTCTTCTTGCTTGGACGGCATTTTGACAACTGAAGAGTGAATTCCAAAATCAAAATAGGAGCAACATTCTACACACACACACCTTCAAAATGAGGGGTGTTCAGGTTTTTTAAAAGCAAAATTGAAAGAAATACGTCAAGTTGATATTGACCAAATTTTGACCGTATCACCCTTTAAACAAACTTAAAAAGGGATCTATCGATTGACACTGACACCTCGATTTTGTTTAAACTTGTTACTTTCAACTTAATGAGCGAAGATATTCAGATTTTGGGGAAATCAATTCACATGGGACCGGTTTATGCTGTGCACAAGTATGAAAATCTAAAAAATGAACTTTTGAATTCCGCCAGAAAATTCATCACATTTTCCTACAGTAAACTCTGCCATGCGCATTAGCGTTGACAGCCAGAAACGTCATACGTCGCAATTTGTTCCCAACATTCCACCATATTTGCTTTCGCAGCATCCTTCACAGAGATCTGTCACAATCAGAACCATGAGCGACAGAGTTTAGCTTTTCCGGTAGAGCTTTCCACATTTTTCTCTCCAGAATCAAACTCTCTCATTTCATCTCCACAAAGTTGACAATCTCACTCTCACTCTCTTCCAACCCACATCAGTAACGTTCGGCTCCCGGTCGGTTTGTTTTCCTTTCGATTCCTCCCAATTTTCCGGAAAATTGTGCGTGTTTTCCTCTTGGCATACGGTAGGACGATATTGTAAACATTCCTTCGCTAGCGGTTCGTGTCACATAGGAGGACACGACTTTGGACGGATGGAAACGATTCTCATTCTCTTTCGCCGACAGGAAGAAATTTTCTCTTTGGGCGTTCATGTTCTGGCAGACTCCGAAGCGTAGTTCAGTTTTGCAGAGATTTTCGACCTTTCCGGATGTTGAAAGAAGAACTCGCGGGCGTGAACCAGACATCAAATACTACCCTGGGATAGTTTTCTTCAAAATTGGATGGCCATTGTCTGCGGTCTGTGTGCTATTCATGTATTGGTGTGACTCGGTGTCATCACAAGACAGGAGGCAGTGGAGTGGAGCAATCGGTGGAAGGGCTTGAACGGCCTTCTAACATTTGGATTGTTGTGGCCGAAGAAAATCAAGTGAAACGTGTGCCAAAAAGCTTAGGTTAGGCAATTTCTTTCACAGGATTGAAATCGGAAGTGTGCTCCTGCTGTGCAATCAAAGCGAACGGAAGCTGAACACCCTGCTGCTGAAAAGAAGGGTGGTGGTCGCCTGTACATGTTTCATTTGTGGGTGGAGTGAGACCTATCAAATTCTTTTTGTGTGTGCATGTTTCATCATCATCGATCTGTGGTTTGACAGAAAGTGAGAAAAATTAGACGAGGAGCAGGGAAGGAGAGAGATAGCATACGCAAGAGAAGAGCCTGACAGAGGACGAAAACAAGAATTCGTGTGACGCTACGCAGCATCCCCTGCAAACCCTGTCCGTGTGTTGATTTCTACCAGGCAGAGAGGTGGAAGAAGGGTGTTTCCAAATTGTGTTTATCTAGCGGCTGGAAAGTGAATGAATATCTATCGTGTGTAACTTAAGTGAGGCGGAAATTTTCTAAAGAAATTGCCAGAACAAAGTTATCTTAAGGGCCATTTGGCACAGTGGGCGAGAAAGTGTGTCTGAGTGTGTCGATTTTTTGTGTGAACATCTTCGCAACAACAGCAATAGCATAATCGAAAATATTCGTGATTCAATCAACTGGACCAGTGGGTATCTGGAAAGTACTTTTGGCTTTCTTGCATTGTCAAGTGTGAAAGGAAAACTTTTCCATCAAATTGTCCCTCTTGTTGGGGAATCTTTTGTGGTGGTAGCCGCTGTTCGTCTATTGGATACAACCATCGTCGGAGGATTGCTGAAATTGGTTGCAGTACATGTGAGAGGTGGGTGAGCCTTATTCGTTTTCTTTATCGAGAGCAATCGCTATTTATCTCACGTTTTCCGTAATGTTGCCTCATTTCTGGCGTTCTCCATTCCACCGGGAGCGATTTAAACTTGTGTTTTATTCATTTACTTTTCAACTCACGGAAAATTAGTTTTGACAAACTTTGCGAAAAGTTTCTGAATGGAAGTTGTAGGAATTGTTCGAATGATTTTCACCAAAGTTTTGCTCGTTGTTTTGATGTACTTAATGAGTTACGTATATTGAACTAGTTTTTTCTTCAATTTATTTTTGTTAGGTAACTTATGTTTTCAATTAAGACATGATTCAAACCAACAGGCAAATGCAGAAGACAAACCAATACTCTTCAGACTAATAACTAAGCTTTGGTATTCTAAGTCAGTGTAGGCACCGCTATCTTCATTATATTTATAAAAGAAAGGCAACCACGTCGAGATAAATTAAAAAAAAAAAAAACTTGTCGAAACCGATCCTTTTGAGAATAAGCCATGTTTTTCTGCAGATATATATTGCACACTTAGAAAAATTCATGTTAATTTAGGTGCCCTGGGAGTGACATATACGAGCGTCAATTTTGACATAAATTTGATTCATAACAGATACAGCTCAATCAAACGTACTTTTCGTCGAGCAACGAAGTTTTCAGTCTCGTAGCACTTAATATTACATGACATGTTTGTTTACGTCTCATCTTTTATGTCAAAGATGGATTCCATCACGTGTAAAATTAGCTATTTATAAGTATGTGCTGGCAATTTGAAAATAGTGTAAAAATTTCCAATTATGTTGAAATATATTAGATCTTTTATATATTTATTTTATTGAAGTAAGGGAAAGCATGTTCGAGTGCACTACTTTGAGCGTTACTTCTCCCAGAGGCATAACCAACCGACTTTTAATTTCAACAGTTTAACAATGATTTTAATCTTACTAGCTAGCCCACTGAACATTGTGTTCATTGATTTTTTAACAAAGTCTAAAGTCGAGGCTTTCTATGACGACTATATTTATAGCGACAAATCTCTCTGTAGTGACATTTCCACAGGTCCCTTGAAATCTCCAAACAAAATCCTATCTATGTTGCGGCAAATTCTCTACAACGGCCTTTCTCTGAAACGAGGCACCCTCGCTAGTTTTTATCCAGTATCGTGAATATACAATATTTGACATCTGATGTACACCGTAGTAGTCAAACATGTTTACTATTCAGGCGAGTCAACAGTGATCAATTTAATGATAATAGTTTTCATCTTTCATTGTATCGCATAACAATGCACGTAGTTTACAGCAAATTTATCAAATTGAAACTGGGTTTGAGTCAACTAGGGTAAGTGAACCTATGCATCAGCTTTGGCACATTCACAATAGGTAGGCCCAACATAAATCACATGGGCCATGACTGGTTAATACCAAAACAGGAGCAAATTTGAAGTAGTGCAATAACTGGTTCACTTTCCCTATTTGATGCGTTTTTTCATCAATATATTGACCATTTCAATCGATGGGTATTCTATCCCTTAAATTGTTTACTTCTACAAACACAAGCATAAATCAGGGGACCTGTGGTGCTTCAATAAATGAAAATGCAACTTCATGTTTGCTGCATGGGGCTGGGGTTGAACTTTTTTTGTGGATGCTGATATTTATGCTCTAGCGGTTAATGAGTGTTAAGCGGCTACTCATAAACTCTGTAGACAGATAAAGGAAGGGGGAGGTTGACGAGTGTCCACGTTCCTTAATTTTTTTGTTTATTAATTTGGACGACTTTCTACGCATATGATGTGGGATCTATAAAATCCCTAAAAACAGATGACGTAGTTAACAGCCAATCAAGAGAGCCTTCGGAAATTAGCATTGACGGCACCGTCACACAGTGGATCTCGCATTTGAGACTAGTAGTGTCTTAGAGAAAGAAAGCCCCTTATTTAGGCATGGACAGATCAATGGGTAATCCCCATAGAAGTGAGTTCAAAAAATTCGTTTTCCACAAATTTTATAATTAGGATTGGTGCCTTCGTGAAATATTTTTCTATAAACTTCTATCATTTTTAAATGTTCTATCAAGTTGTTCAAAATATCAATACACATAAATAGGATAAATATTATAGCACACTAGATCACAAAATAGATGAGGCTTTTATTGATTTTGCAGATAATTTTATGCCACTTAATTACAATTTACTACCATTTCCCACCATGTACTACATCAACACCAGTAGGAATACAACTATTTAAGTGTGTTTTCTTCAAAACATTCAACATTTCTTGTACACACATGCAGAAACATGAATTAGATGTGAAATACTGGGATATTTTTTTTAATGGAAAACTCTTTAAAAGCAATTTTTTCCTACATAAAATATTCTTTGAACCTCTACTGTTTCGAAGAACGGTCCAAAATTGTTCAAAACATCACTATACACACATTTTCTGAACTGCTATCAAGTGACAAAGATATATATTTTTCTAACAAAATCAAGAATAACTTGCCTATTTCTGAATCTAGTGCGGTGAAATATTCTTCGTGGGTTCGAGAGTTATTCAAATCCCACTAAACAAATTACAGAAGTCATATTTATCATCCTCTATATTCGGTCTTTAATAATGTACCCCACCGGTTCAAACTCTTTCCACCCGCTGATAGATCGTTTCTTTTCACATCACGAAAGGCTACACAGATAAAAATTCTTAATTTTAATAGTGATGTAAACATTCATTCACGTAAACTAGTATTTCATTTCACTCAACCGAGAAACTTGTAAACAATGTTGTTTACGGTGGGCTTTTTAAAACAATATTTGCTACATTGCATGAAATGTCTCAGAACTTTACATGATATATAATGTAATGTGACGCTCCATTGTGCATCATACTGAACAGAAATTAACACTACTTTTTCGAACTGTGTAGGTTTCTGGTCTGCCTTTGATGGCTTTATAAAAACCTAATACACAGGACTTTTATTATCCTATGAACACAAGAAAAATTTCGCACATCTACCACTTCCCGAATCATCCTCAATCGGCTTGTGTATGAATGCCATGAATTTGAGCATCATCTACAACCGATCATATACATGTAGAATCAGGTACGATCAGTACGATCACTTCCCACCATACCCTCATTTATGGGAGCATTTTTTCTTCACATTTTTTTATATTATTTTCATTTTTAGACATTGCATTCCACCTTGGTTGTAGACCGATTTATCCTTGCGATTTCAAACCAAAACAATCAAGGTGTCAGCAATACCGGGCAGCCGCCGGGTTGGGTATTTTACAAACAATCGCAGCTTGCTCTATGACCGGTACAATTGGCACACCTGCGGTACACTTACGACACACTTACGGCACCCTGACAAAAAAGATGACCCAAGATTGTTGTGCGGAGTTACGTACCCCTTGGGTTTTCCATTAAAAAAAAAATCTTCCATATCATGCAGTATTTCACATCTAATTCTTGCGTAACATTTGAAAAGGGCCTATCCTCGTTGATCGATTCTCTTCATCGACTTTTTCTTTGGTTTACCATGGCAACATAAACGAATTTCTCGCTAAGAAAATCGATGAGGAGAACCGATCAACAACGATAGTCCCTTTTCTCGTGTTGCGCGAGAATTCATGTTTCTGCAAGAGAGGAGATCGCAGTAAGCCGTGCTTGAATTCTGACGTGCTTATTTTTGCTGCGTTTTTTGCATTAAACATCATTATTTGTTTATGCTATATTTAATTCAGTTTTAAGTGTTCATGAAATTGTGCTATAGTAGATTGCCTCCCGGGAGCCCGGTTCTCCGAGCTCGGATGCCACACCTTCGGCGTGTAGTTCTATCAAGAGTCTCGTCACCGTGGGCGAGTTTGAATCCGGTCCGGTTGGCGAATTAGCGCGGGAAAGTGCTGATAATGTGTCCGTCGCGAGCTTTGGTGGTGATTTGGTGGCTGACGTTGTCGTGAACCAGCAAGTTTTCCACTTGCAAAAGTGCTCAGCTGCTGGTCTCTCGCTCGACAGGACGAGTGATAGCTGGTGGCCGCGAACGGTTCCTGGGGAAAGTACTAGACGCGAACCTCCTCGCAGATGACCATGACAATGCAAGAACATTTGGTTTCGCTAAAGGAAGTATTACGACGAAGGTAATTGCTATTAGAAATTTTTGCAAACAGTGACAGATAGCGGACATGAAGATCAAGTGGAGGTGCCGGGCAAAACTGTTATATTCTACACGGATATGCTCATAATATTTTTCCGTTAACAAAACCAATGATATCTATCTGAATTTTACATAACATTCACATAAGTTCTATATGATAAATCACTTAAATTTCATTTGATACATAAGGTTCATGTGATGTTGTGCTGCAATTCCCAAGTTTTTTCCCAATGAATTTTGGAAAGGGTGTATGCGTGATCCAGTTTGGAAGACATTGTTGGCTGCTTTCGGGGATGTTGCTGCAGTAGCTGCTGATTTTTGGCATCATTTACTTTCTCTTCACAGCTATCCTGGGCCACCGGAGTCGTCACGCCCATTTTTACCATGACTTTCTCCATGTATTTGTATCTCCTCTTCAGTTTCCTTGCCACCACATTACCGTACGTCCTGCATCCACTGTGAGCTTTGACCTGCTTTTGTTGTGGCTTACCTGGCTGCTTCAGGGTCTTCCTATTAAGGCAGGAGTTCATCTGGTGCCTTGTTCTTGTTGCCGTCATAGAAAATGTTTCTATTCCGATTGAGGAAATGAAGCACTTCCATGTACACACCTCGTTCATCTGGGTGCATGTCGAGGCTTAGCTCCTTTCCTCTGTGAAATCTGGTACGTTGATTCCATTTCAACGTGATTCGCATTCGGAGCCCTTATAAATCGAATGTTCTTCACTTCCACCGACCAAGACACGCCACCAGTGATGGAATTCTCACCAAAATATCATTTTCGTTTGCGATACGTTTTCTCTTGGGAACTTTCTCTCACTAGTTTCACACTCCAATAT